TTAAAATGGTGCTCCGTATTCTGGTAAACATGAAGATCATGAACATGCCCTTGAAACTTCTAAAGGTTTCAATATCCTAGGCAGCACTTTCAACTGTGCTACACCACCTTACTTAGGTGGACAACACTTACCTGCTCTAACCCCAACACATATGCTACAAAGGGCAGCACCTCCTCCTCCTCTACTCTTGCTTTATTCACGGGCTCTGACTTGCACCCCTCATCAATGCTTCGTCCCATGTTTCAAAATGCCAGGGAGCATAAAAACAAATGGGTTTGTTGTTTTTTTGCCCATGATTCCTGAGATCCCTGTTTGCCAGCCAGAGGAACCTCAACCACTGCTCTGCAGATGGGCGAGAGAGGAGGTTCCACAGTCAGACCCTGGTGGGCTCACAGCACAGTTCCAACAGAGGCTGCAGGACCTGAACCATAATCGCCAGGGTAGGGCATGGGTCAACATGCCCCCCAGGCTCACCGGCAACCCGTGAGAAACAAGACGAGCTCATAGGTAGCACTCTGGAGCTCCCTGGGCACACTTACTTGTCTATCAAGAAGATTAGCAAGCATTTAGCAAAAGCAAGTCTGCAGTCTTGAGCTTGGAACAGTCAGGGAACATTAATTAAAAGTAATTTATTAATCTCCTCCCCCAAACCTTTATAAATGATAGCCATTTTACAAATTAAATCTTTCAGGTATTTAAGGAAAAAATAGGTTAATCAGTAGATTAACAGGGCAACTGTTAGACATTTCTTCTGCAATACTAATTGTCTGAAAATAAATCTTTCTTAGGATATAGCTCATTTAATTTTTTAAAAAATCTAAAATATTACTTCAAATAATATGCTATATGTTAATTATTAACATGTTCTTTCAAAAGAGACCTCTTTTACGAAGAGACTGCTATTTACCTAGGAATATAGCTTGAAAGTAAAAGAAATGCTTACTATACACTTTTTTCCTTGCTGAATATTTGCTTTTATCATCAGCTGTTAGGATACTTAAAGACGTTATCTGCAAATATTTCTTCTGTCTATAAAGTGTTTTTATTTTTAATTCATTCTTAAGTTTTCCTATTATCCATATAATTCCTTCTCATTCTGGCCTACTGAGGAACAGCAACTTTGTGATACTGAAATATAATCCTGTCTCAGACTGTGGAAAAGCTAGAACAAAGCAACAAAACTTTGTTCTCTTGGGATAGAGAACACTGTAAATTTGAGATCTGAGCAATGAAAGAAAACACCCATCCTTTAAATTGCCTGTGTTGGCTATTTGTACCAAGTTTTGATTTCCTGTTTGATTTGCAGACATTAGTGCAGAAAACAGGCTATTTTCTATGCAAAAGAAAAAGGATAAAACACAAGATATTTGAAAATGACTGTTTGTGGTAAGATTTATTACTTTCATTTTTAAAGGGACAATGGTTACATTAATAGCTTTAGAAAATAATAATTTTAAGTTTCTATTAACGTGCAAAGTAAAACTAGTACTAGTTAAACTAAATACTTCTAATTTCTTGCAAAATCTATGGAACTAACTCCTAAGCAAATCACTAAGCTAGAAATGCTCCCAAGTCCTTCTTGTGGTCTAAAAAGGGGGGGGGGGGGGGATGTGCAGCAGAGGGAATGAGCTATTCGTTCCCTGAAAAAGTCTCAAGTGCAGCAAGCAATGAGATTGACATCCCTTTGTTCTGCAATGCCCAGAGACTACAAAAGTACTTTTCTTGCCTGCTGTTTCAAAAACTTTTCAGCTAATGACTGAGTCTGCTGGAGATAGGATTCTCCCAGGATAATTATGAATTAACAAGATATATTTCTTAAAGCCAACATCCCAAAATGGGTTTTCTAGTAAGTAACATAGCTTAAGTGAATATGGCTGTGATTTCCAGCCCTCTCCTCACGAAAACATATTCTGAAAGAAGTCTACATACTTGTAGCAATCCAAAAACACAATTCTCAAGTGAAAATTGTAATTTGGTTTAAAGACATAATCTATAAGCAATAAATGCCTAAGCTGGCTTATTCCATCCCACCCTCCGTGTGCCAGGCTTTGTAAGACTGGGAAGAACACAATGTCAGCCCACACCGTCAGAGAGACACTGAGGCCCAGAGAGAAAGAAGGTTTGAGAAGCAAATGAAATTTAAAGAGCAGGCTTTCAATGGGCCTTCATTCTGAGAGTGGGGCTATTTTTGTCCTTGTTTTTAGCAGCAAATTGTTCCTGCCTCTATACACAAGCATTTGTGAAGAGGATAGCAGGGGAACCACAGACACAGCTGTCCAATTTACATTCACAAATGCAGGTGTTGCTCAGACACAAAACAGAGGTCAACCGAATACTGCTCCTAATTAGCTACCTTTTCTATTAGGATTTTTCTTTCTAAAGTTGTGCATGCAATTTGGGTTCAACTCAGAGACCATTTTTAGATCCCAGCATGCTATCCACCAAGAAGCAGGCTGTCATTATAAAGCATAATTTATAGCATAGTTAATTTTACATGTGTTTTTAAATCTACATTATATACCTCAGGCAAAATTCTATTCAGCACACACATTATTCACTCTGCTTTCCATTCACTTTCATTATTTAAGTGTGCAGAATTTAGCCGGAAAATCCTTTATGTTAGAAACAGGAAGAATTTTGCCCTCTTTCTAAGATTAAGAAAGTCCACAATTTTAATAAGGAGGACTAAGAACTCTGGTAAATGATACAAGAAGAGAAGTAGCTATTTGCTATTGTATTCAGTGGGGAACACCCTGGGGCTTATGACAGAAGTTCTTAGAAATGGCAGGATGGAGACTGGTATCTAATACAATCCATTAGGAAACCCAAGCCCTGAATGAAATGACCACAAAATCCTATCAGTTAACAGAAATGCAGCAGCTGTACATGTTTATTGTAATATAATAGGATATTATTGCAGAGATAACACTCTTAAAATTTAAAAAAAAAAAAGAATCCAGCAAGTGATGTGACCAGTTTAGTGCTCTATTTGAAAAATGAGAAGGTATGGTATGGTAGAGCTTTGAAATACATAAATAAGCATGAAGATTGCAGACAAGACAGGTATTGCATGTACATTTGACAGCCAGTTAGGATCAACCCCCAAAGTCACTGGCTACACTTGAAGCGACTTGCACATTCTGTCAGCATATTCAAAGACCTAGAAAGATAATGGTTCTTTTGCCCCTTATGATTCCACCTACTGTAAGTATTCCATATACTAATTCTTTTCATGGCTCCCAATTACCGACTTTTCAAAACTGCATATTATAGATGTTTAAATTCCATTTGGCCTTAAATTTCACAGCATTTTACAAATGTATATAGATATATACACACACACATTCAGTGTTCTGGGCTTTCCACACTGGATCAGGTGTCTTTCAGAGAGTCCCTAATGCTGAAATCATTTTGTGAAAGGTTAAATCTATGCCCAGGATTGGCCCCACTCATCTTGCATGATTTTATTCACTATAGGCAGTCCATCAAGATTCAAACCCTAAAGTCCGCAGAATCACTGAAATACAAAAGCCTGGATTCTATGGCCCTGTCTTCTGGGACGGAATGCAAAGTATTTTGTTGTGGTAAGTAGGGCTTTGAAGAGAAGCAGTGAGGCCACTCCTAGGATTGTTGCCCCAGTGCTAGGCATTCAAAACGGGAGTCCCAGGGTCTCAGAGATCACTTTAATCCTCCACCCTTCCCCTGCCCCATACCAAAACAAACCCTGTCTCACAAGTGCTCCTCTACCCACCTCCACTGCAGTTCCAGGGCCCCCCAAAGGAAAGTGACCTTGACTACTGAGTGTCCTAAAAGAACTTCAAACAATTTCCTTATTTGTCTCTCTGTTCCAGTGAAGATTAAGAGCCTAATTCTTGGAGACTGCTACTAAAATTCCACCCCACTGAATTCGGAAGCCTAATTCTTTTGGCATTATGTTTTTTTGGCAGAATAATGTGACCCAAATTTGCAGAAAATAATTTGCTGCAACAGTGCTTCTAGCAATGCAGTGAGATTAGCATTTCAGGACTGCAGATATCAAATTTTAAATTAATAACTGTTTGCTTCCCAAAAAGGACAGATTTTGATCTTGTAATATGGAAATGGAAATATCTGGCAAAATTTGAATGGTTTTATGAATTAAGGAAGCTCAACAGATCAAAGGAAATTTATCAAGAACTAGCAATTTATTTCAGTATCTGGTAGCAAAATGCCATAGCAGTTCTTTTTAAAGATGAAAAAAATTTAGCTGTGTATCCATGTGCATGTAGGGTTGCAAAGACATCATGCATTCCATTTCTCATCAGTGAGGACCATTTCTCCTTGAAAAGGACATTTTCAGATCTAAGACGCAGGAAAACAAAACTGGACAAAAACTGCCATGGCTGTTCCTGTGTTCACCCACCGAGCTACTTGTCAATGCCCGTTGTGCGAGGGAGCGAGGCTGTCGCCCATTATCATTCTGTCTCGGTCGCAGTATCAATCCACTTCAGCATTAAGGTGTCAGAGGAGAATCGATCCATTTTCCTTAACTAGAATTTGTGGATGGCATTTTGGGTTCCAGGTGGGAACTAGTCTTAACTAAAAGTTCCTGGTCACGGCTTCTAGAGCTAATTCCTCAGCCGTTGAGAGAAACATCTTCCATTAGTGCTCAGAGCCTCTTGTCTAGGCACACTATAGGTGGGGACACGCTTGTCACTTAGAATACCAACTGCAATCACCGTCACCAGGGTCTAGTGATACATTCACCCACAAGGGGGGAATTTCAAACACCAAAATGGGAAAGAAAAAATAAAAGAGAGAGAGACCCCTACAGAATGAGTTACACCGTGGAGAGGGATTCCTGGTTCCAAACAGCTTCTATATGACAGTATGACAGAGAAAGAGAACAGAGAGAACAGGAAGGAAGGAGAAGGTGCATAGTGTCAGCGGGAAGCTAAGAGGCACATGCGCACGGGGTGTGGCGCAGCCGGTGCGGCCGCCTCTTTCTGCGCTGCTCTTACCTTATTTCTCTTGAAGTAGGCTCGTCGGCAGGCCGCAAAGCACTTCTCGCTGCAGAAGCTTTTCACCTCGCTTCCCATACTCAGGGAATAGCGCTTGATTCCCACTTTCTGGCACCAGGCACACATTATTTGAACATTTGACACATCATCTTCTATAATAAAAGTATAAGAAAAATGTTCATATCAGAAGCAAACATCCCTTCAAACTTAGACACACCCTGAATCTCACAGACTTATTTGGGATCTGATTTTAACTTCTATCCCTCACTCACTTCTTTCTGGCAGAAGAGCCAGTTCTTGGTAGGAAAATTCCCTGCGTGTGAGCACGCGCGCGTGCGTGCATGTGAGGACGCGCGCGTGCGTGCATGCGTGCGTGCGTGCGTGCGTGTGTGTGTGTGTGTTCGACTCCTAAGTTTCTCTGAAGACATCATTTACTTACACACCAAAGCATGATTGCAGACCATGGTTGCTCCAACGGCTTCCTAACCTAGTAAAAATGCTTGCCCAGCCCAGTTAAACCATTTGCAATACTACCAACGACTGCAAAATGACCCATTTTCCCAAAAATACGACTGAAATCCTACAAAACCTGCACGGGGTGGGAAGCCTCAAGGCTAAGCTACAAACATGATGCCTAATGGGCACATGAACGGTCAAACACCTGCTCAGCTTGGCTAATTCCCCCATCCTGTGACATGATGTAGGGGTAATGAGATCTTGACATACACAGTTTCCCCAAGAGCTATGATTAGTCCCAAATGAGAAGGTGTGAAGTAGTTCATCAATGGAAAGACACAGGCCTGGCTCACTGTAGTCTCCTATGTAACAATCTTCCTGTAGGAAATGTGTGTGTGTGTGTGTGTGTGTGTGTGTGTGTGTGTGTGTAGGGTAGAGGGAAGGCACTCTCAGGGAAGTTCAGGCAAGTTTCTAATTTTCCTCCATGGGATGCTGTTCTTGGTCCCTGGGTGGATGATAATGGGGTATCAGTCATGAGACTGAAGTCAGATAGTGTGGCCCAGAACATTTTCAGCCAGAATGGGGGTCCTCCCAGTTCCTGGGGGACCCATCACTTGAGTCATAAAGGTGCTCAGAATGATTTAGTAGTGTACAAATATCCTCAATATATTCAAATACAGGAATTCTTTTGTATGTAAGACAAATTTAAATAGCACCACGAGTGATCACAAATATTACCCCTTCAAGCAAGTTATAAAAAGGTTAGAAAAGTGAGCCTATTTACTTTAAAAAATATCAAATAATTCTTAGTGCAACTGGTAAGAAGCTATGTATGATCAAAATGTGCCAGAGATGCTGGAGCGATAGCACAGCGGGTAGGGCGACCTGGGTTCAATCCCTCTGCCCCTCTCGGAGAGCCTGGCAAGCTACTGAGAGTATCTCGCCTGCACGGCAGAGCCTGGCAAATGACCCATGGCATATCCGATATGCAAAAAAAAAAACAGTAACAACAAGTCTCATAATGGAGGCATTACTGGGATCGAGCAAATTGTTGAACTACAGGAGGACAGTGCTACAGTGCTACAATGCCTGAAGCTAGGGGTGGGATGGGGGATGTCTCAGAAGGAGACTTAGATGAGTTTAAGAAACATTTCCTTTGTTTTTTTTTTTTTTTTTTTTGTTGTTGTTTTTGATTTTTTGGGGGAGGGGTGGGTATGCCTTCTAGGAGCTTTGCTGTAGACTGAATTTTCTCAGGCTTCCATGTTGACTCTGTGTGTGTATGTGTGTGTGTGTGTGTGTGTGTGTGTGTGTGTGTGTGTGTGTGATGTTTCCAACTGCAACTATTAGTCAAACCTCTTCTTTTTTTTTTAACTAACCCAGACTCATGCTCTGGACATGAATGGTAATCACAAAATCCCCAACAAACTCTGGTCTAGTGCTGTCTGAATTCTAAATAAAATTCCCCAATGACTAATTGCTAAGCAAGGGATGGTCCCAAGCGGTTGACAGAGTCCTGGCTCACGAAGCCTGTCATGCAAGCATTCCATTTCCAGGGGGGGGGGGGGGGGGGCGGGGGGGGAAGATTTGGTTTGAGGCAGTATGGTCATCAGCCTGCAAAATCAGAAGCAAACTAATTTGCAGTGCGGTGCTACACCACATTCTCCCTGAGTGTCATCACTCAGAACTACACGCAGTATTTTGTTTACCTTAATGGAATAATTTTGCTATGTTAACGACAACTTTTATTTCACAAGCTGTGTATTATGATTCATTGTTAATTACCAAGTGAGACAGTTAAAAAAATTCCCTTTGGTATATTAATCAAGTACTTTTGATAACATAATTTTCTTTAAATAGATCTATAACATGAATTGCAGTGGCATAGTTACTGAACTTAATAATTTGTTCCACTCAAAGAAGGTTTATTTATCTTTTGTAGAATTCCTAACCTGACATCTACCCACACAGAGACATATGACATCCAAACGTTTAATAAAACTCTATAATTTAGAGTATGGCAGATCCTATTTTTGAATTCAGTCACAAATAGCATTATTTTTAAATATGTCATTATTAAACTAACTGGCAAAAATCATTTCCATTTTTCCCAATCCATTAACTGCTTTAAAATCTTAAAATGCATGAGACCTGGGCAATGGCAAGAGCAGCAAGTGGTCGAGTGCAAGCCTAGTGTGCTCAAGGCCCAGAGTTTGATCCCCGACGCTGGATGCCCCCTCCAGCTCTGCCAAGTATGGCCCTGGAGGCCTTGGTGCACTGCTGGGAGTGGCCCCATTTTTAAATAAAAAAAGCTTAAGTTCCTGAAAAAGAAGATGATAGAGCAGAACTCTCACAAATGATCCGCTGGCAATAAATTTGCTTCTGATGAAATCTGTAAGGAAAGAAAATGTTATGGGGGGAAGATTACTGTTTTTACAATTCAAAGATGAGATCACCCCCCCCCCCACTTTACAAGGAGTCATTCTGGATCATGCATTCAGTTCCCTTCATTGTTTCTTCTTCAATATAGTCCAGAGGAGGGGGTGGGAGGGTACAGACAGGCTCAAGCTGTGGCTCAGCTCCACTACCACACACTGCCTTAGATTTTTAAAAAAATTTTTTTTGGTTTTTGTTGTTGCTGTTGTTATTGCTGCTGTTTTTATGTGGAAGCAAGGATACTTGCTTCCAGACATACACAATAACTCAACAAAAAGTAGAATTTCAAAGAAAATGATTTTCACAAATCATTTGAACTACAACATAACAATATGGGAAGATGAAGCAAAAGAAACTGCACTTTTGCTTTGTGTCTGGCAGTTGGAAAATTCTTTGGTGGTTAGCATCGGTCCTGTTAAATAATTCGACATCCCCATCCGTTTTTACTAAATTCCACGTCATAAAGGCAAACACTTTGGAAAAACTCCGAAGAGTTTGGTAAGTGGATTATCCCAAGAGTTCAAGCAAACAGTTCTGATGTCTCAGGTATTCAAATCTTAGCAAAATTCACCTTAAATGTTAGATTTAAGCAGCTAAGAACTGTGATTGTCTAAATTAATTTCATCAACTAAAACAGATAAGATTTCTACCACCAGACATGAACTTGTGCTCCATCTTGAAGAGTGTAACTACACCCCTACAAAGTGAACTTCAAGTGTATAAAACCAAGGGGTTTTAAAATCTAACTAATAGAACTGATTCATTTCACCAACCACATCTTTATGTTCCAACCTGAAATCCAGGTATGATTTTTGCACACAATACACTGACAGAATAGAAGGTCCTAGTTCTTAAGGTTTTTATCTTTCAGTTTTGAAATTACAGGTAGGAGGTTGCAGGAAGTTTGGACCATACCTGGAAGTGCTTAGAATCTACTCCCAGCTCTGCGCTTAGGGGTCACTCCCAGTCCTGCTCTGGACCATGTGGTGCCGGGGATCAAACCAGGGTTGGCCACATGCAAGACAAGTACTATAACCTCCATACTATCTTTCCAGCCCTAAAAATGTGATTTTGTTTGGTTAGTGGTTTTGGGACCATGCCCCGAAGTGCTCAGGGATTATTCCTGGTTCTGTGCTCAGGGACCACTCCTGGTAGGGTTTGGGGGAACCATGTGCAGTGCTGGGGATTGAACCCAGAGATGCGCCACAAGTAAAGCAAGCATTCTACCACTGTACTAACACTCCAGCCCCAAAATGTTTAAGGTAAAAGGTAAAGGTAAAGGCCCTCCCGTTGATCATTGATTTGCTCGAGCGGGCCCAGTAACGTCTCCATTGGAGACTTTGTTGTTACTGTGTCTGACATATCGAATACTCTCGGTAGCTTGCCGGGCTCTCCGAGAGGGGTGGAGGAATCGAACTCGGGTCGGCCATGTTGGCTGCGTGTAAGGCGAACGCCCTACCCGCTGTGCTATGGCTCCAGCCCAAAATGTTTAATTTTTTAAAAATATTTCTTTAGAAATGGACAGATAGCTCAAGTGACTAAACATATGTTTTGCATGTAGAAGGCCTGGGTTTGATCCCAAACGCCATATGGTTCTTCAAGCACCACCGAGAAAGACCCCCAGAGCACTGCCAGTTGTGGCCCACCCTTATGTTAGTAGCAAATATGGATTACCTGGGATGAGCACCCAAATAGCTGGGATACCCACAATCTAGACAAATAAAATTTCTTTAAACTGGGGAAGAGACTGATTTTCTACTTAAAGAGTTGAGATTGTACTCCACCGATGATTCACAGAATTGTCTTTATGGTTAAGAGGCTAATTTTTATCATAAAAATTCCACAACAAATACAGAATCTTGGAGCCAGAGAAATAGTATACTATGCACAGGGTGCTTGCCTTGCACACTACAGACTTGGGTTTGATCCCTGGTATCCCATATGGCCCCCAAGTCCCTTCAGGGGTGATCTCTGAGTGCAAAGCCTGAAGTAAGCCCTGAACACAGCTGGGCATGGCCCGAAGACAAAAAAATATGCAAAATCTGTATAACATTAAATCATATTCTCAAATGAATAGCTGGTATAACGTGAAGAAATTCTCTTATGATAATATCATAGAAATATGCATCAGTCAAAATATGCATGTTTCAATAAATCATGAAAACTTTGCACCAATTCTTTGCAATTTAATTAAGCAAAATTTTTAGGGCAACTCTTACAAATCTAAAATTCAAAAAGCTATAGAAACAATCTAGAATTTAAA